TGAATGAATTGGATCCTAGGGTTTACAGAGCCTATCAACTCATCTCTCCGCTTCATATTTGGTGTTTTTTCCATCTGTAAGAACCCGTGCTGAAACACGATCATTTCAGATAAACTTTGTCCACTTCGTGACGGATAAAATTATTGTCACCAAAGGAGGTTGACAGATGAAGGGAGACTAGAACTGGGTTTGCTGCATCGCTCTCCATGCTCCTGTTTATTCCAAAATCTTCAATAATGGGCAAAAATCTGACAGAGCAGAAAATCACCAGCTGTTCTGAGCTCATCTACTGCTTGCACAGCTGCTTAGAGAAGAGAACTTGCTTGATTAAACCGAGGAGATTTCAGAGCAGAGCAGCAAAACTTTAACCTAAACAGGTTTAAGTAAGCAATGACCATGCAACTCAAATGAGCTCAACATTGTAAGCACAAAACAAGGGAAGGAAATACTGGGCTAAGCCAGTGAGAGCACTTGGGGAGAAGTGGCATGAATTCAAAGGTTTGTCTAAATACAGGGTCAAGTATGACTTCATTTGGATGCGCTTTAAAATGCTTTAGGTAAATAAGGTCAAAAGGCTAAGTTGGCACTCTTCTTTTGCTATAAACCATGTTTGGAGTTAAAATATTTGGAAATAAATTTTAAACTAAAGAGCAAAACCTATATTTCTAAGCCTAAGGAAGAACAACTGCAGAAGTTTTAGCTTGCTAAATTAAACGAGCACAAAGGCATGAATGGAGAGAACAAGGAAGGGCAGAGCCAGTGAGAACAGGGGTGAAAAATTATCAAAGGAAGAGCCTTGCTTTGTCTCAAAAACGATAGATTTGATCGTTTTTTCTAGCACCATTGTCCCTGCTTTTGAGGGTTTTAGAGTGAAACTGGAGATCTTTTTAAACTTTTAATTGCATGGCTTTCCTGTGCTAGCCCCAAAGGATACGGGGACAGCTTATAAGAACTCTGAAAATACATGAACAACTAAATACTAGCAAATATGTCATTACATTCTGCTGCTTCAGGGTCATGTGGTACCTCTGCAAAGATAGCTGCAGCTCTAGCAGAGTCAGTGTGATTTTGACCCAAAGACTTCCAGCTTGCCAGTGGGCAGAGGGAAATCCAGCAGTAACAGTAAGCTGCCAGCCTTCCAGTTTGCCCTGTGAAACAACTGGACAACTGTTTTCTGGTACAGACTAAGTTTCTTTCAATGTCTCAGAAGGTTACTCTTTCCTCTTCATTTGTACACCTGACATAAATCCTGTGAGTAGCCAGGTACCCTGCATACAAATATTTCTGTCTGAGCTGTTCCTTGAAATCAAGATCGGAATTTTCTGTTTCAAGTATAAATATGGGATCCAAACAACTCTGAGCTTAAGGAATGCAGAATCAAGATCTGAATTAAGATGTTAAGATTTAAGCCATCCCTACTGCAAATGCGGGCAATTCCTTTATTTCTCATTGGTGATTCTCTCCTGTGGATGCTAAAGTGCATGGCAAATATGTGTCAATATCCTTCCTCTTACTTAGGGACACAGCAACTTCGACGAAGAGATCTGGCCAAGGTCATCAAGCAAGTCACAGGAAAAGTTAAAAATGGAGCCTGATTTTCCCGTCTCCAAAGTCACACTGTGTTTCCATGGGGAGCCACTGGAAACGTGTGAGAAATGCAACTGACATAAATACTGCAGAAAATAACCATTTACAAATATCTTCAATAACTCATAAGCCAGTCTTGGTATTACTATAATTGTGCACGGTGCCAGCATGTCAGTAATACTTTGCTCAGTCGGTTCCTAACATAGCTTGTAATTTAAATAACTTTTTCCAACTTTTAATTACATTCTTGTGTAATACAACTCACTGTGCTTTGTGCATACCTTGAGGGAGGTGGTATGGTCTGGTAGTTGTTGTAAAGAGTTGGGAATTAATTACAAAGGACACAGTTTTTGAGTTCCTCTCAAGTACTTGCTCAGCTGTGTAACCTTGGGGCAAATCACTCAACTGCTTTGTGCCCAAGTAAACCCAGCTGTAAACCATCTTGAAAACCAGATGGTGCACAAGATTTAAACTGCTCAGGAGAATGAAGGGGGGGGATGAATTCTACAGCTCGGTCCTGTTGGTATTGCTTCCAATGGAGTTAATCTGGACTTTAACCAATATAACTGAGAAGAGAATTTGCCTTGATATAAAAAAAAAAAAAAACCCAAACAACAAAACCCCTCTCAAATCTTTTTTCCCTTTCCTCTCTTGACTTTATGTCAAGTACCTTCTCTCTAGAGGCTTAATTTTAAACCTTCAGTAGAATACATGTTTTTCCCTGGCAGCCTGAAGATTCTAATTCAGGATCAGGTTCTACATGATATTTTACATGATTATTTTTAGGCACTTAATTCTATAGTGTTCTCTTCTCCCTGCTTTTCATGCTACCATTCTCCTTCCTCAGCCTTGCTTAGCTTCAGTGGCACAGTGGTGTGTGCTGGTGCTTAAGTACTGCACTGCTAATAAAAATGCTGAGCTCTATTGTCTTCTGTATATGGTATGTCCTGGCTTAAAACCAGTATCAAAGCTATTACAGGATTTGTATTGCTGGTCAATGAACAAAGGAAATACTATACTCAAGTTTCTGTAGCAGAATAAATGTTTGCCACATGTTAGTATTTAGGTGAAGACTTAAATGTTTCAATATTTTTTGGCCTTAGCTAAAATGTAGACCTTTTTTTCCCCACCAGTGCAGCAGGAACGTGGGAATACTTACTTATGTAGGAGTACAAATGTAGGAATACTTGTGTATACTTTCAAAGCAGGGTGTATTAGGTTATAAGAAGGGAAAAAAAAATATTTTTAGTCTAGTATAAACAAGGAACATTTAAAGACGTGAGACGTAAAGGAGCCGTTTTATACACTACTCAGGAAAGACGTTGCATGTTTTTATTAATCACTATTGAAAATAAAACATTGACAGGTTTGAAATTTGTGGAACTTTCTTCCCAAACAAGGAAGGATTAGAGCTGGAAGGGTAAGTTACAAACAAATTTAACAAGCTAGAGCACCTAATTCTCTTAGGCTCTTAGGAAAACAAATGTTGTCAGCAAATTGTCTTCAGCAAATTTAGCCCTTGCTATACAGTACTGGGATGGCAAAATATTTCACTGCTATTCAAAATTGGTGATCATTTTTCCAACGTAAACAATTTTCAGTTTGTGTCTCTCGCAAACTGTTTGCTCTATTTCATGTTATTGAATCTTTAGATTCAATACTTGAGCTATGCTATTAGTAATTTAAAATATTGAAATTATGTGCTAATAAACGCCATACCAAAGTGCCTGCAATGGATAATGACACTGCTCAAACATCAAATTGTTAATTAACAACAAACTAAAGTAGAAATCCTCTGATATTGTTTGAGTCCCTCTTTGGATGATCTAACTTTCCTTTTCCCCTCCTGCTACCACTTGAAACTAATTTTTTAAAAAGGTGCAGTTCTTTTGGGTGAATAAAAGAATTTTAAATCAGTCAGAACATAAGACATTCTCAGATGACCAGCTGTGGAAAACAATAAATAAAACGGAAAGTGAGCTGTAGATAGAGCAAATCCAAGTGATAAGGAAAATCATGACTAGAGTTGTCTAATATAGGGACAAGAAGAATATAAAATACATTTTCAAGCCCTGAGCTATATAAATACTCATCAGACTCAATTTGCATTTTTGCTGCTCATAATGAGTAAAAGGTTGATTTAGCCCAGTATTGCCAGCTGAAACTGCAGCTGGGAGTATTTTTCTGTATCCATCACACCAGGGTTTTCCCCTCTGTGTTCCTGAGTGTAAATCATTGAGCTTTACTTCATTTCATGGTCCTGTGAATTGCTTATATGGTCTGTTTAAAGAAAAGATTGTTGCATCATGGCTTTTGCATGGTCCAACCCAGTTTCTTTCCACTCTTCATTGAGAATAGAATGATGGATGCTTCACGTTGTTGTTATTGCTACCATAAAACAGGCCAGCTCACAGGATACAGCTTCAAATCCCTTTGTACGTGCTGAGACACAATGCAGTGAGATGCTGCCGGTGAAATATGTATTGATAGACTGGTGATTTGGATGCATTGTGAGGTATTGAGTAAAGTCGATTCTTAAGGCAAATAACAAAATGATGAATTCCCAAAGCCAGAAATTTCAGGCATCATAAAACCTTTTCTTCTTAAAAAAAAAAGATCTAATTAATTAAATATACTTTGTGTGAAGGCCTTGTTTCTTTAAAACAGCATCTTGAACTTGAAATCTAACTAGTTTGGAAAAAAAAAAGTTAAATAGTTTTAGGAGACCTCCTTGCTCTTAATTAGTACAGTCCATTTTTTTGCAGGTTTTAAACCATGCTGCTCTATTTGTCCCTCTCTCATCGCCATGTAGGAAACCTACAGAAAAATGAGAAGTATGCCATTGAGAAACTGACTACAAAATGCTGCTACAAGTATGTATTTTGCCCATATAATCACTTTCAGAAACAGTCAATATGCGTTTAAAGAAAAATAATCTGAAAAAATAGTGATTTTTTTCAAATCTCCCTTTAAAGAGACACTGTAAGGCTAAAGCTTGCATATGAACAAATCTCCCCCCAAGTTGCTAAGAACACTTTCTAAACTGCAATGTAAAAGCTTTCAATTACTACTTTTTGCTATTTATGCTCTTCGTTTATTTTTTGCCTTTATTTTCCAGTCTTGTGACTAAGCAAATCTAGTACATTTTGCTCGCTCAGTGTAGCTCACGTCACTCTCCTCGTGTCTTGCTGTAGCTTATTGCCTATGTTTGGGAATACAACCATCCCCAGGAGAAGTCACTTGTCTTAAAAGTAGGATTCAATTGTTTTTATTAATAAAATCCACATTTTAAGCCTAAACTATTTGACTGTGTCCCTTTCAAAAAGGAAATAATTTGGGACAATCTATTTTTTAAATCACAGTTTCTAAATTCTTGCCCCAAAGAGCAAATTCTGTAAGTTCCGTTGCTGAATAAGCACAGGATTTTTAAGGAAGATGTAAAGACAAAATGAAAGAGCCTCTCGCACAACCTGATTGCTGAATTTCAGCAATGCCCCTTATTACCAGCTTATTTTCTTGCCTTTTTTTCAGGGCTGTGGAAAACAATTTCTGTCGGCTACATCAAAGTGTAGTGGCAGATTTCCCTTTGGAAGTCAAAGCCTGTTTCAAACGTCTCTTTAAGTCTTGCATATTTGGAGACTTGGGTCGGACAAGGTGGAGGCCTCTCCGTTTCTCTCCATTGCAGCTCCCAATCATCCTGCTGACCTCCTGGCAAAGCTGCTGGAAGGCTTCATGCACTCCCTCACAGTTCTCCCGGGCTGAGACTTCATAGTAAGTACCTCCCAGTTCACTGGCCAGCTGGAGTCCTTCTTTGGAGGACACCTGCCTGGCTCGCAGGAGGTCTCCTTTGTTCGCCATCAGAAGCAGGGGAATGTTAGCATTCGGGTGAATCTTGCGGATGTGCTGGTGTAGGGGACGGATGACTCGGTAGCTCTCATAGTCTGTGATGGAGTAAACAAAAACGAAGCCATCTGCCCAGTAGATTGAACGGTTTATCTGCTCTTGGCAGCATATGCTGTCAGTGTCATCCTGCCGTCAAAACCAAGAGGTGTGAGATTAGAAAACTGAGAATAGGGAGCAGACAGAGCAAACAGTCATACAGCACTGTTAGCTACTTGGAACTTTGTTTTAATGTGTGGCTGTTTCTCAATGTACAGGCAGAAACCTCTCTGACTGCCGGGGAATGTACCAGGGGCAGGAGAAATTTCCACTGTGTCAGTAACATATTACAGGTAAGCAGTAATGTGGAGTGGAGAGGGGTCAGAGCAAATTGGTTGAAAATAAGAGAACAGCCAAAATACTGATATTGAAAAGTTTGTTTCGTATTCTATTGTACTAAAGCAGTGTGACAGAAACCCGTGCTTTTATTGTGGATAAAATTGTGATGGGCACGGTAAGAGCATTATAAAATTGAGCAGGCTAGTCACACTACTGCAAGTGAACGGTTGTCCCCCAAGGTGGTTTTTTAGGGCTTTTTCCAATTCTGTATTCAATGTGTCCATGGACGGGTGTTCTCACTAACTCTGTTTGGTGAAGCCTGACAGGTTTTTCTGTCATGTAGGTCTCCAGATAGTTAAAGGCAGTTACTTCGAAAAAGCAATTTGTTACAAATAACCAATTACTGGAACCGAAAATGAGGTGAAATCTCATTGCTCATTTGTAGAGCAGCAATGGGTTCACAGTATTGTTTTGCTGGTCACACATTTGTTCAGTCCATCACCAGTCCCACTCAGACAGCCATAACAATCACCAGCGTTGGGAATATAGAACTGAATACAACGCTGTGGGGCTTGAAAAGAGATCAGCTCAATTTTCAAGACGAAGCTATTTTCAGCTAATCCTCTACTCTTTGTTATCCGTGCTGGCATGTAACCCAACCAGATAGGGAGATCACTGCTGCAGTTATTGCCAGTGTGCTTGGTTTGTAAGAACTGACATTCCTGTCAATATTACAGGCTTTCTGGAACTTTGTAATTTCTTTCATATCCAACAAGGCACTAAGCATATTCAGTATTCAGCTCTTGATGAAGTTGGTAGGAATTAGAGGCTTTTGTGTATTTTAGGAGGAGTTCAACATCATGAATACAGAACCCAAACTTTTATTATTATTGCTAAATTCTATTCAAGAAATCTTCATCAACTTCAGTAAGACTATTAGAACGTATGTTCCATTACCTATTTATCTATAGAAAATATATCTGCCATTCACATTCATTTTAACAGAATTTGCGTGTGCTCAGCAATCTCCCAAAACAGATCACTTTTATTTAGACATCTCAATATGAATTATAAAGCCTAACTTCAGGAAGCAGAGGTGGAAAAGAATGAGTAAAACTGATCAGTTCTTTTACGGTAGATCAGACAGTAAAAAAAGGACTACCGACAAGGCTCTTCTGTGAGAAGAAGGAAGCAGAATTTCTGAAGGCTCAGAGTACAAATTAGGCTTACAACTTTCAACAGGAGTTCTGCTAACTAACTGCCTTTTGTAAATATTTCAATATTGCCCATGGAGATACTGGCTCATGGTACCCAGTAGTTCTTCGCCCTTGCCAGCTCACAGTAACGCTAAATCCTATTAGCAGTGAAATTGTTTAACAGATGCTCTTATCACCCCTTTCCCTGCCCAAAACCCTCAAACCCAAAAACCCAACAGAGTTGCACATGGAATGAAGAGGGATCCTCACTAGCAGCCTTGTTTAAAAGGTTAATGAGAGTGAACTCAAGCCAGGACAGGGCAGACTGTGGGAAGAAGGGCAATTTGCACTCTTGGTGTCTGGGTTATATCCAATCTGTAGATAATTAGCCACCCTTCATGTCCTGCTAGCCTCTTTTCACCAGCAAGCTCCTTTCATGGGAAAAAAAGAACTAATTGCTCTGGCAAGCGTTGGAAAATGTTTTTGGAGAAGGTGTACATTCAGAGAGCCCTAATGAGCAGAAATTCTCGGTTACTCCAGCTAGGCCCACCCAGTAGTGAGATGGATGGATAATCCCCAACGGAATGCTTTATTCAGGAAAATCAAAGGCTAATGGGCTACTTTTTAAATGGAAATCTCTGCTCCAGAATGAATTTTGAAACACACAGTCATTTGCCATGTATAGACCAAGCAGCAATGAATCACCTAACAAAACCAGTCATCTGTTTGCTTCTGTTTCTCTCTTAAACATTAACATTTCCGGTGTGGCTAGAATCCGCGGTGATTCCACATGACTTCCTCCTGAAACACTGTACTCAGCCTGCGGAGTGCAAGAAACTCTCTTCCTCAAGGATTTTAACAGAAAATCCAACCTACTCTCAGTTTTAACAAGTCCTGTTCCGGAACAGTCCCTTCAAATGATTTCAGATACATCATTTGATGCAAACAGAGACACAGGCTAAGATAAGCATGTCTGTGGGAACTGTTGAAACAGTGCAGACCTTTGACTGGGACAAAGAAAATGAAACTCCTTCCTAACTAAATTAAAATCGTTTCTGACTAAGAAACCTCAGCTGCTGGCATTACTAAATTTTGTGGAGCTCTGGCTACAGTCACAGAACTTTAGGGCACAGTCTTAACTGTAACAGGGAAACTGGACAATAAACATATATCTGGTGTGAAAGAGGGAATTAAATTATTTCACTCCCTCCTTTCTCCATGGGAAAGAACAGAGAGGGGATTCCCTTTGTTAAGTGTTTATCAGGCAGTCCCAATTGTGCCTAATCACCAGCAACAGCTTCTCTTTGCAGGTCCTCTCTAAGCAAGCTGGCATAGGGCCTTTGTACTGTTAAGTCCCACTTGAATATTTGGAGGACTTCCATAGCAGCTTTTGTTTGCTTTTTAGTGTCCAGAGTAAATGAGGGGTCCTCTCCACTGCTCTGCGCACCCCCAGCAGCAGCAGCAGAGAGCGTGGAACTTTGTCAAAGATTTCTGCTTAAATCCACTTCCAGTCATCAGAGAAAATGGAAATGGAAACTGAGGCTGTGGGAGCTTTGCTTATCCTGTTCTGTAAGCTCAGGATGGAACAGTTCTACAGCACAGAAATGAACCCATGCACATGTGGTCCTGGCAGACAAAACAAGGTATATAAAGCTGTCCAGGGCTAGCCTGAAAGAGGATGAGAGAAGGTGGTGTTCCCATCCAGACGTATATTTGGCCAAGTTAGAGCTTAGACTGAGGTTAAGGCCAAACCTAGAAGTTTAGGTTTGATGGTGACAAGAGGATACCTAATTTTATCATGAAATCTCAGCTATTCTGTAGGAATTATTACGCTCATGAGATTTCCACCATTCATGTAAAAATAAATTTCATTACATTTCCTGCTGCTTTGACACTATTTTCATCCTCTTGTTCTGCATGTGAAGCACATCTTCAAAAAAAGACATCTTAATCTTAGATCCTGCTTGGAAAAATATTTCTAGAAACAGGTTCCTAGTCAAATATTAAATCTAGAATATCTAAAATACTGATAGAAGGAGGGGTGTAGATAAATGCTAACACTTTAAAAATAATAAATAAAATAAAATAAAAAAATAAGGAAAGCCCAGAAAGGCACCCTAGTTGGAAATGACAACTGCTGTGAGGCCTGTCCCCTTGGAAAGAAACACCTTTCTAGAGAGGAGAGATTCTGGGTGTGTAGAAAGGTCTAAGCTGAGCCAGCTGGGCCTCTAGGCAGGTGAGTTTTCTGCCATGCAGGGACAGAAACCATTTGACGGGAAATAAAACAAGGAGCTGGCAGGAGCGAGCCAGACTATGATTTTACTGCTATTTAGGCTTGGGATGCAGTAATGTGTTTGAAATAGATTTAATTCTGACTTAGTCTTAAAGGAGCCTGATTTAACATCTTCAAGGGCTCGTTTTGGCGGGGCTTAAGGTACCCCCGTTAGCCTTCATTTGGGTTTGAGCCCAGGTATGTTTCTGCTGAGTGGAGTTACTTACAGATGGAAGTGCTGGCAATAAACAGGAGACAGTAACTGTGCTGTAAAGTACCAACGCACTGAGCAGATGTTTTACCTCCAATGAAACAAAGGGAGTATCCTGCACCTGTAGAGAGATCTGTTCCCCATCTATGGTGAACTTTCTTGAATACAAAGCACCTGGTGGAAAAGCAAGATCATTAGAGTCAGTGACTGTGACAAAAAATAAGAGAGTACACAAAGGCAAAATGGAACTGTTGAAATCCAGATTTTTGAGGCTTATGATATGTAGCTGCTTATAGAACAGTGAGTAGCACCGGAGTGGTTGTGTGGCTGTTTACTTAAGTAAAGTGGTTTTGTATTTGCTATGTGGTCGGCTGTTCTGAATGTATACTGAAGATGGTATCTGGGAAAGGTGGCACTTCGTATTGAATCAAATAGTCAAAGTGGGCGCATAAATCCCGTTCAGGTTTTCAATCCATATTGTTAACTTTTTAAAATGTGGACTGCATATATTTTTAATCTCAAACCAAGATATCCAGGTGTTGTCTGTAAAAGGAGCGAGCTGTTTCCTATTGCATTTTTCTGAAAGTTTTTAAAAAAGGAAAGTATTCTCGTTTTGGACACAGAGTAAGTGACTGTATACAAAACACCTAGATGCTCTTTGGGGTTTGTGTGACCTTAGCAGTCAGAGTTTGGTTGGAATCCCCAAAGACTGGACACTTTGAATGTGACTTCTGGTTAATCTGAATGACACATTCAGGGCCAAGTGCTAGTTCAAAACATCTAGGACTGATGCAGCTCTAATAAGACCATCACTATTCTGGGCTTGAACTTGTATTTTGTTACTGGCGCGGGGGTTAAGTGACAATGAAAACTTAAGTTTTGATCTTACGAACTGTCTGTGGTTATGATAAGGACAGCTTCAGAGACTGATGTCATCGTCATTTTACCTTAGAACTTAATACAAGTCACATGGATATGTGAAGAAATGCTATATCCACAGCTGTTGTATACAGCCTGTCAGTCTTGTTCAAATACAATTGTCACTGCTGCATCTAAAACATGTATTTCATCTCAAATGTAGAGAAATCCCATCTATTGGAGAGTAAGGAATTCAGATTAAGAGGGAGGTCAGTTAGTGACAATAATGCCATCACTTCTGAAAATCATCTTTGGTTCAAGGAAACAGGTGTTTTTATTCCAGTGGAAAAGAGGCTGAGCTCATAGAAACATTTACAATATAAGGAAATTTCGTATGGCAAAGTTTGCTGCATCTGAACCCAACATTATCACATTATCACATTTTGGGCCCCTCACTACAAGAAGGACGTCGAGGTGCTGGAGCGTGTCCAGAGAAGGGCAACGAGGCTGGTGAAGGGTCTGGAGAACAAGTCTGATGAGGAGCGGCTGAGGGAGCTGGGGTTGTTTAGCCTGGAGAAAAGGAGGCTGAGGGGAGACCTCATCGCTCTCTACAACTACCTGAAAGGAGGTTGTAGCGAGGTGGGGGTCGGTCTCTTCTCCCAAGTAACAAGCGAAAGGACAAGAGGAAATGGCCTCAAGTTGCGCCAGGGGAGGTTTAGATTGGATGTGAGGAAAAATGTCTTTACTGAAAGAGTGGTTAAACATTGGAACAGGCTGCCCAGGGAAGTGGTTGAGTCACCATCCCTGGAGGTATTTAAAAGACGGGTAGATGAGGTGCTTAGGGACATGGTTTAGTGGGCATGGGGGTGTTGGGTTGACGGTTGGACTCGATGATCTTGGAGGTCTCTTCCAACCTTAATGATTCTATGATAATGTTTTAATACTGACTCTGAGAGGTGATATAGCCCTTCTGGGATATTTTTGTTTTTTGAAAACACATCAGATTTTAAGCTGAAAAGATGTTACTGTTTTATGGGAAGATACTGCACCCCTGAACCAAGACCAGACAACTTATTATTCCTACTCTGTAATGCACTGCAGAAAAAAGAGCAGGTACTTCCAGACACTGACTGTGCTCTGCCTTATACCCAACTGAAGGAGAAGCATGGTTGAATGATCACAAATACACTGCCACCTGTTTCTTATTTCTGGCATATTTGTCTCTTCTACAGCATGGCTGTTGGGCTGGTGGCTTAATGAGAAAAGCATGTGGTTCTCAGCAATGTCTCTGGCAGCAATCCATTGCAAAGCTCAGAAGTCTAACTTGATGTACAGTCTCCCGTAGAAGAGATGAAGGAAAAGAAAGAGAAATAGTGCAGCCAACCATCAAGGTTACTTAGGGTCAACGAGAGGGAGCTGTAAGGAGGAGCTTTCCGATTGTATTTTATCAGACAGGCAGAGATCAAAGGTGTCTTGTACTGCCATCTCCTTCCCTAACTCATCATTCTAAATGCAGCCTGCACCTCCAAAGTGAAGCAATCGCTGCTGTGAATCCTGTCCTACCTCACCCAAAAACTGTGAGATGGCCTATGTGTGGGATGTGCTAGTAGGTATGAGCACGGTGTACGTAGATCCTTTCTACAACGCTGGCCGATACAGCTGGCACTTTCTTGAAACAGAGGCTGTGAATTAAACAGCTCACATGAACACATCCTCTGAGGTGTCAGCATTAAACAAGAAATGCAGCAGAAGCAGTTTGCATGGTCACGTTGCTTATCTTATGGAAAGAAGACTTCAATTTGGAAGTCTCCCTTGTCATAAAAGCCACTGAAAAAGGGGAGTACACAGGAAAAGTTCTGAACTGACTTTTATGCACTTTGGAATTCCTCTGGCTTCCCTGGGGTTGCAGAGAGAGCAGCGTTGGGTTTCCGCGGTTTAATCAATATGCAAGTTGTTCCTTGAGTCTGCATTTTAGTATAGGTATGTCCCCAAGCAAACCTTTTACTCTGATCCTTTTCCATCAAGTTGGAAAAAAAATAGCTAAAAGGATCATAAATAACGAGCCTTTGATTTATTGCTTTCATAGCTTGAGGCTATTAACTGAAAATATGCACCTTATGGACATCTAACACTGCTTGGCTTTCCTGTAATATGCACCAGTCACAAAATAGAGTAGATTTCTTTTCAAGCTATCTGCAGTACTGCAGTAGAAAGCAGACTCACCAGTATTGGCTTCATAGTCTCCAATAAATCTCTTCGTGAGAAAGCGCACAACCAGGGCTGTAAAACAATGAAAAAAATATGGGTCTTTAATGTTAACCAAAATCAATCTTTGCAGAACACATGTAATATCTTACTGGAAGAGTTAGTATAATATGAAACCAAGTTAATCTTTGAATTGCTCACATATTATTCTGCAAGTGCTTCTCTCAACACTCAAAGAAAAAGATCGGGGGCCAGGCTGTGATACCTAATGCAGTTTTTTGCAACTTGTACTGGAAATTACCCCTCAGATTCAGTGTGGCTATTCAGTGGAGGATACGGAGGTTGGTTTGTTGTGATTGCAGGTATAACAAATCTGACCTTTGGTTTGAAATAATTTAGAAAAAAATTAACAAGCCAATAAACTGAAACTAATCCCAATACCACATTTAAGACCTCTGTGTCGTAGAAGAAGTGAGGCTGATGGATGTAATGGTTCTTCCCAGCCTTAAAAATCCTCAGTCCTCCTCATGAAACCCATTAGTGATATCTAACCGCATCCAGCAAACTGACTGCATGTGCTCTGCACACATGGGTCATGAAGCAGCGCCCTGGGCCTTCTTAGTCACCTTAACCTGCGGTGCTTTCTTACACTGTTGGATTAGAACATTTTCCTTTTTCCTGATCACTTTATAACACTTAAAATCCTGTCATGGCAACAGTAACTTATCTTCCTGTAGTGCTTTCATCTCAGCAGACTCCTAATCATTTGCAAAACCGCTTAGTTAATAGCTAAATAGAAGGGTTTTTCCTGCAAACAACTCTATCATCGATTTCATTTAAAATAATCATTTTTCTCACAGTGGATACTGGGTCACCTCTTTCGTACCCTTAAATGAAATTGACTGTGCAGTGATCTTCAACAAATTACTTAAAAATAATATGAAAATATGGCTGCTTCAAATCCAAAACAATCAAACATTTTACTGAGTGCTGTGGAACCTCAGATGCAGTAAAACAGATCTGGCCTTAGTAATTTCTGAAGTCATGAACCATATCTTCAAAAGCAATAATGCTCGCTTTACCCGCTTTTCTTCTCCTCTCTGGAGAGTAATACAGGAAGACACATCTTGTACGCTGTTATTTGTCTGCTGAGCATAAAACATTTACAACAGGAGAATAAAAACCACTAGTCCCATTTCTGGGGTGTAGAAATTTAGACACGGTTAAATAATTTGCACAAGACTAGGTAGAATCATTTGTGAGTACGGAGCTCCCAACACAGTGCCCTCTCCTCTTAACTGCCACCCCACGTTGGCTGCTCACGCAGACCTACAGCAAATCTGCCTCACAAATTATTCAGCGCATTTTCAAAAAGAAAAAAAAAAAAAAAGTAACTTAAAATGTTCAAGCTGCAACAGTTAAGAGTTTTCACAGCCTTGGGTCTAACTGAGCTGCAAATTAGCTGGAAAGTGCAGCAGCAAGAAAAAGCATGGAACTACACCTGCGGACTTACCTGTCTTGCCAACGCTACTGCCACCCAGTACCACGAGCTTGATGATTTTGTTGGGCACGCAGTCTAATACAGGATACTCTGGTATGGGGAGCAAGAGAAAGTTAGTAGAATACTGTGACATAGTATCCTGAGAGATGAGACGCATGCCAGAAATGAGAGCTGTTCAACTCCAGTAGGAGTTGGGGGAGAAAAGAAGGAAAACAGCTTCTCGGCGTCTGTTCTTGGCTGTATATCCTTGGATAGAGAAGCCTTCTCATTTCATTTAAGTAGCTTTCCTGAGGAATGTTAGAGCGACTGGCCTCCTCTTCCCGAAGCCTCTGCTCAGACAGCAACTTTGGAAAGCAAAAGGGAACTTTTTGATCAGCCCCCGTGAAAACTGACTCCTCCATTCCCCAGCCAGTCACAAGTGAAACCATGACATTCCTCCAGCCGGGCACCGAGCGTGTGCCTCCATCAACCACGCTCCCTCGCTCGCTCACCGCTTTATCTCCCCGCTGCCTGTTTTATGTGCTGTCCCTTGGCTCTTTGCTAAAACGAGATTCTTCTGTTTTACAGTCATTGCGGTAGCGTTTTCAGCGAGATACAGTCACCCCCATGCTCTGCTCTGACTCCACTTTGAATAATCCCGTTCTACCTGTCTAGTTTCTTTGCATTTTCACTTGGCTCCAACTCCATGCTTTGTTGTTCTCCCCGTCCTATTGTGTCCTGCAGTTGGGCCCCTTCAGAGTGCTGAAGCTGATGGGACACTCCTCTTCAGGAAAACAAACACATTCCACCCCCCCCCCCCCCCCCCCTCCTCATCGC